ACTGTGTATGTCCTAGTAATATAGTGTAACTCTTTATAGCCTAGTTATAAAGTGTGACTGTGTATGTCCTAGTAATATAGAGTAACTGTTTATAGCCTGGTTATAAAGTGTAACTGTTTATAGGCTAGTGATAAAGTGAAACTGTTTATAGCCTAGTTATAAAGTGAAACTGTTTATAGCCTAGTTATAAAGTGTAAATGTTTATAGCCTAGTTATAAAGTGTAAATGTTTATAGCCTAGTTATAAAGTGTGACTGTGTATGTCCTAGTAATATAGTGGAACTGTTTATAACCTGGTTATATAGTGGAACTGTTTATAATCTAGTTATAAATTATATAGTATAACTGTGAATAACCTAATTATAACTTATATAGTGTAACTGTTTATAACCTAGGTATATAATGTAACTGTTTATAGCCTAGTTATATAGTGTAACTGTTTATGTCCTAGTTATATAGTGTAACTGTTTATGTCCTAGTTATAAAGTGTAACTGTTTATGTCCTAGTAATATAGTGTAACTGTTTATAACCTAGTTATATAGTGTAACTGTTTATAGCCTAGTTATAAAGTGTAACTGTTTATTTTCTAGTAATATAGTGTAACTGTTTATAACCTAGTTATATAGTGTAACTGTTTATAACCTAGTTATAAAGTGTAACTGTGTATGTCCTAGTAATATAGTGGAACTGTTTATAACCTGGTTATATAGTGGAACTGTTTATAATCTAGTTATAAATTATATAGTATAACTGTGAATAACCTAATTATAACTTATATAGTGTAACTGTGTATAACCTAATTATAACTTATATAGTGTAACTGTGTATAACCTAGTTATAACATATAGTGTAACTGTGTATAACCTAGTTATAACTTATATAGTGTAACTGTGTATAACCTAGTTATATAGTGTAACTGTTTATAACCTAGTTATATAGTGTAACTTTTATAACCTAGTTGTATAGTCTTACTGTATATAACCTAGTTGTATAGTGTTACTGTGTATAACCGAGTAATAAAGTGTAACTGTGTATAACCTAGTTTTAGAGTGTAACTGTTGATAACCTAGTTATACATGTTACTGTGTATAACCAAGTTAAAAAGTGTAACTGTTTTTTATATATATTTTTATAGTGGAACTGTTTATAACCTAGTTATAAAGTGGAACTGTTTAAAACCTAGTTATTAAGTGTAACTTTATGTCCTAGTAATATAGTGCAACTGATATTAACCTAGTATACCCAATTATACACTAGTTATATAGTATACCTGATTATATACTAGTTATATAGTATACCTGATTATATACTAGTTATATAGTATACCTGATTATAAACTAGTTATTAAGTATACCTGATTATAAACTAGTTATATAGTATACCTGATTATATACTAGTTGAATAGTATACCTGGTATAACCTAATCATATATTGTAACTGATCATAACCCAGTAATATAGTTTACTCATTTGGTATACAAAATTGGTTGAAATGATTAATATAAGATAGTAATCAGAAAGTATGGGATAATGGGATCTTCCCTTGTGGAATGGGCCAGAGGGGCAGGGCCCAAATGGAGGAAATGGCTAAAATTTCAAATATCTTGTTCCACAGACTCGGAATTTGTGAAAAGACAGGGCTGACCCCCAACGGGACTGATTGTTAGGGCCCAAAACGTTTATTTGACTATATTGCTTTAAGCAACTTTATCTCTGAAAGTATACGATGGATATCATTTAAATTTGGTAGGAAACATTCTCAGGTGATGGGGATTCAAAATTGTACAAATGGGGAGGAGTCGTGGCAATGAATTGGGGTAAAAATGTGATTGGGTCATGTTGCTCAAAGAACATTGTTCTCTTGAACTAATAGATTGGTATCTTACCTATTCGATTGGAAGCATTCACAAGTTGTCGATATTCAAAATTGTGTAAATGGTGTGGCTCAGACCCGAAAGGGATGGGGCAAAAGAAATATTTGGTGCTTTAAGCAACTTCTCCTCTGTAATTATGAGATAAATAGGTAAAACCAAACATATGTGTTGATCTGAGTATTCGGATCGCATTAGTTTGTGGTGGCGGAGGAATATATCATGAGTGCGATTTGCACGAGTGATATATTCCCTCCGCGCCACAAACGAGTAATTAGGATTTTTTTCTGATATGACTAAATGCACATTTTATGTTTTTCCTCTTTTGTCGTTTTCCATCGGCACACAAGTCGACGCAATGCCAGGATTATTTTTATAAGAAACTTGTGCTTTATTAAAAAAAAATGACATTCTCTTGGTGTTTTTTTATGATAATGTATTTCTTTTATTTTTATTTAATACATTCTTTATATAATTAATGTATTTTTTTTGATAATTATGAGAAAACATACCAGTGGCTAGATTTTTAACGTCTTTCTTGTCAGTAGAGGGAATTCCCCTAAAAAGAAGATCCGGCTACTGTGGTGATACAGGATCTTGTATCGCACATGTGTGATACAAGCAGACAGAAAACACACCTGACAAAATGATGTATTACTATCGTAAGATTGCATAGGCATGTGATAAATATCAGCAATATTTGGTAAAAAAACATCTTCGGATGGTAGGGACTGAAAATTGAAGGGATTGTAGTGCTTACCCCAGGGGCTGAATGATGGGATGAAAAAATATTATGACTTGAAGCTGGTTTAGACCCCCACACTATAACCAGGTATATATATAATTGCTGATTATGAAAAGATGTATACACATATGCTACCATGATGGGCCTCAGATATCTGTCCCCACCCATGAAGACTTAATCCCTGAGTCATGGGTGTACCTGATTAAATACTAGTTACATCCTAAAGATAGATATATTTCTAGTTTAAGTGGTTGTTTTTATACGCCTGTCTTTGACGTGGGTATATATTATGGTATGGGTTTGTCCGTGCATCTGGCGTAAACTTTTGTTTGTCCGTCAATCTCCTCCTACATTTTTTGACCGATCTCTTTGAAACTTAGTAGGCTAAATAATCATGATATGTTGTTGTGTTCCCTTCAAAAGAATTTTGATTGGACAAGTTTTGCAAAAGTAATTGCCCTTTGGTTATTTCAGTATTTGAGTTTTTTTAACGGATCTCTTTGAAACTTGGTATACAATCATCATGATATGAAGTTGTGTCTCTCTTAAAAGAATTTTGATTCCATGATTTTTGCAAAAGTGTTTGCCCTTTGTTCATTTCAATATTTGATTTTTTGTTCGGAGATTTTCTCCATTTTTAGCTCAGCTGACCCACTTTCAAGGTCACAAGGGTCAAATATGTTAAAATCTTCAAACGACTTCTTCTCAATAACCAAAAGCCCCAGGGTACTGATATTTGGCCTGTACTATGCTGGGATAAAGGGCTACCAAGTTTGTTCAAATGAATGACCTTGACCAGTTTTCAAGGTCACAGGGGTCAAATGTCTTAAAATCTTCAAACGATTTCTTCTCAATGTCATAAGGACCAGGGTACTGATATTGGGCCTATAGCATGCTGGGAGGAAGGCTACCAAGTTTATTCAAAGAATGACCTTGAGCCACTTTCAAGGTCACTGGGGTCAGATGTCTTAAAATCTTCAAATGACTTCTTCTCAATAAACAAAAGCTCTAGGGTACTGATATTTGGCCTGTAGTATGCTGGGATGAAGGGCTACAAGTTTGTTCAAATGAATGACCTTGACCAACGTTTAAGGTTACAGGGGTCAAATGTCTTAAAATATTCCAACATATTCTTCACAATAACCGAAAGGCACAGGGTTCTGATATTAGGCCTGTAGCATGCTGGGATAAAGGGCTACTAAGTTTGTCCAAATGAATGACCTTGAACAACTTTCAAGGTCACAGGGGTCAAATGTCTTAAAATATTCCAACATCTTCTTCACAGTAACCGAAAGGCACAGGGTTCTGATATTAGGCCTGTAGCATGCTGGGATGAAGGACTACCAAGTTTGTTCAAATGAATGACCTTGAACAACTTTCAAGGTCACATGGGTCAAATGTCGTAAAATCTTCAAACCACTTCATCTCAATAACCAAAAGGCACAGGGTACTGATATTAGGCCTGTAGCATGCTGGGATAAAGGGCTACTAAGTTTGTCCAAATGAATGACCTTGAACAACTTTCAAGGTCACAGGGGTCAAATGTCTTAAAATATTCCAACATCTTCTTCACAGTAACCGAAAGGCACAGGGTTCTGATATTAGTCCTGTAGCATGCTGGGATGAAGGACTACCAAGTTTGTTCAAATGAATGACCTGGAACAACTTTCAAGGTCACATGGGTCAAATGTCGTAAAATCTTCAAACCACTTCATCTCAATAACCAAAAGGCACAGGGTACTGATATTAGGCCTGTAGCATGCTGGGATGAAGGACTACCAAGTTTGTTCAAATGAATGACCTTGACCAATTTTCAATGTCACGGGGGTCAAATGTCTCAAAATCTTCAAACGACTACTTCTCAATAGCCAAAAGGCACAGGGTACTGATATTGGGCCTGTAGGATGCTGGGAGGAAGGGCTACCAAGTTTGCTCAAATTGAATGACCTTGACCCACTTTAAACCTAATGTCCTTGTTGGACATTCAAGGTCACAGGCGTGATATGTTCAAATCTTTTAAAAGGTTCTTATGAATCAAACACTGATATTCTGCCTGTAGATTGTCCAGTTTTCAGATTACAAGTGTGAGATTAATACCAGGTGAGCCATGCAGGCCCATTGGGCCTCTTGTTTATTACATGTCAGCTAACTGTAGATCTTATTTCAATGTAAGAAAGTATATAACACTATATGGCATTCGACGGGCGTATATTGTCCCGCCCCGCGGTACTCTTGTTTTCTGTTTGACAATATGGATTTTGCAAATCCTATCATTCTGAATCATGGTTGAGAAATACTATATCATTTTCATAGAATTGAAATTCCCTAAATTAGTCATGATTGAATTTTTAAAATAAAAACCTTTTCTTTTGCTTTTCTTCTTAGGCGTCTGTGTGATGATGATGATGAGCTTAGTGAAGTTGAGCCTGATGCTGTTCCCAGTGAGGTCCGGGATTGGTTAGCACTCACATTTACACGCTCCATGAGCAACATCAAACGGCGTGGTGAAGACAAACCCAAGTTCCGCAGCGTGGCACATGCAATTCGAGCTGGAATTATGGTTGATAGGTATGTTACAAGCTTTCAAAGAGAGAATGACAATTCAAATGGACTATTTCTTAAATTGATTTGTCTGCCATATATTAATATTATTTTATCAAAATCTTGAAAATGTTTCTTGTTGTGCAAAGTTCCAATAGTGCTTCCGTAAATTATTTTAAAGAACCAGAGAATAGTTGTAGTAAACATTACTTTTATTGACAATTTCATTAATTGAGAACATAAGCTCAAGATTAGGTAAATTATTGCCTATTCTATTAATGTCGTTCAATTTAAGATAGAATTATGGGTCATTACCATTGTCAAACAAAAAAACAAAACATCAGGGATGGCTAATGTGTTTCCTGCACTACAATGGTAACAATGTTACTAGTCAAACACAGCAAAGTTAGCCACATAATAATAAAAACAGGATTAAAGACATGGTAAACAAGTTGGTGTCATGGTGGACACTAAAATCTTATAGTAATGAGGTCATGATAACAACCATAGCTTTTCTCTAACGCTGGATTAGCCATGGTTACGATCCGGCATCATTCGTGGCAATCTGTATAGTGGTCCGTAGCTGTCCATATTGTATCCTTGGTCAATCGTAATTATCCGTATTTATTCGTAGTACATCACTGGCCTCGAGTCGCCAAGTATCGGTACGGTTAGCTACAGTAAACTACGTACTAGTGCTTAATGTACAAAATTAAAATTAAGTTGCGAAATGAACACGAGAGCGCGAGAGTTTGTATATGGATTGCTTACTGTGGCAGGTCTGTGGTGCTCCGTGCGAGTTCGTAGTGCCAGACCATTTTAGTTTGAGCTAACCCGTACTGAAATAGTAGCAAACCTTTGTTAATTCGCAGTGCATATATGCTGGGACACGTTTTATTCTGTACTAAACTGTAGCAATCCGTATCACTCCCCGTTTTCAAATAGCCCCTACCCGTAGTCAAACTGTGGTGTATCCGCAGCAGACCACGGATATAGACTATTCCGGGGTTATCCGTGAGTTCCATCTGTAGTGGATCTGGCGAGATGATCCGTGAATGTGTGACCGGGCATTATACCTGTGGGTATCTGACAGAACTGTCCAGAGCAAGAAATCTCTATCTCACACACAATTTCACATGTGTGACATCACAATGGGAGAATGACCATGTGATGTCACAAAATCAGGAACTTTACGATAAGTTGATGCAAATAAATTGTGACACGTATTTGTGGTTTCTGAGCTAATTCTGGTGATTGGAATGAGAGAAAAATCCCCTTTCATGCCCAGGGGTGTAGGGTAGGGAAACTCCAATCTCAAGATTTTCAAATTAGTACAAATAGCCTGGCCGGGTTTTACCCAACTTGAAAGCCCTTTAGTAGAATTCCCCTATCCTACACTCCTGGGTATGAGAATCCTATCTTTCATCTGGACCAAAACCTCTGATGGAATAATCATCATAATAAACTGTTAGGGATTTTACTATGATGACAGCATTACCATATTTGGATTGGTGCCACATGCAAGCACCCGACATCAGTTTGGATCTGTTTCTGTCCCAATACTGGTTGCTTAGTGCCCTTTGCCAGCCATTCAGGCTTGGTTTATGTCAAACAAACGAGACACATTTATGTGATACAGTGTTACACAGTTCACAAAGATGGTAGTGGGAGGCAAATTCTGACAGGCTTGGAAAACAACTTTGTTATCTGGAGAGGGTGATTTGCATGACAAATAACAGTTTAGGACAAAAAACGAGCCGATTCTGACACTAATGTCCTAAGGGAGCTTTAATGCTCGCTTAAATAATCTTCAAGAAAAGTGTCCTGTTGCAATTTATGGCTGATCACCACAATTTCTTAAAGAAATGATGAGATGATAGAACTACTGTGCAGTCATTATGTATAAATAGAATATATATTTCTCTACAGAGTTCTGACCCTTCCTTAATATTGTCTGAGATTGCTCAAGTTGATTAATGACTATAGGTTGATGTTGTTTAATGTTGTCTACATGCTGTCTTATATACAGCTAGCTGATCTTATTCCCTGTTCGCTTTCCTATAAAGTTGTGATACATATCGAGCAATGAAACCTTTATCTTGTTTCCTTGTTTAATGGTTTGATATGTTCTGTATTATAAACTTGGCTTTTTTCACTATTTTTAACTGAAGGAAAAAAATGCTTTTTTTCGATATAGACATTGTATGTTTTTATAGAAATGATTAAGAATGGAGTTTTTCTTTAGATTCAGTTGTGTTTTACAGGATTTATCGTCGCCTGTCCAGTTCAGCTGGTCTCCATGTCCCCCCACATGTCCTACAGCTGTTAAAGGTTAGTATCAAACACTGGGCAGGACTAATACAAAAATACAAAGTATATTTGACTAGGTTAGGAAATAAGGATTACTTTTGAGTACCATTTCATGATGCATACCTAAATGTACACGAACCTGTATATTTACATATATGCAAAGTGAAAATCATCCGCATACTCCAGGGATTAAGTTCACTCTCACTCTCTGCACTCCTCGAATATGTCATCGCAAAATTGAAGGCACGTGTACTTTAAAGATTACAGAAGAGCAACACCCAACTTCAAAGTCATGCAGTCGTTGTTACATTACACGACTGTGAGATTCTTCTGATGCAAATCAAATGAGGTGTAATAAAACTAGTCTTCTAGTCTCATCCAAAAAGAAGTGCAGGGGTGAAGAGAGCCACAGAGAGCATAACCCCTGGAGTATCAATGATGAAAGAAATGGTGCCTAATTAAGAACTGGTTGGAAGATTTTAATTTCATTTTGATAAAACGAAAAATATAACCTCTTGAGGGCAAAGGGTTGGGGTCTGGGAGGTACTGATAAATCAAAAGGGTGAGGTCTAGTAGGAGGTAATTATAAATTGTCAGGGTGGGGTCCAGTAGGAGGTACTTATAAATCAAAAGGGTGAGGTCCAGTAGGAGGTGCTGATGAATCCTCAGAATGGGGTCCAGTAGGAGGTACTGTTAAATCCTCAGGATGGGGTCCAGTAGGAGGTGCTGATAAATCAAAAGGTTTGGGGTCCAGTAGGAGGTGCTGATAAATCAAAAGGTTTGGGGTCCAGTATTAGGTACTGATAAATCAAAAAGGTGGGGTCCAGTAGAAGATAACGATAAATCTTCAGGGTGGTGTCCAGAAGGAGGTACTGATAAATCAAAAAGGTAAGGTCCAGTAGGAGGTAGTGATAAATCTTTAGGGCAGGGTCCAGGAGGATGTGTTGATAAATCTCTAGGGTGGGGTACCAGTAGGAGGTACTGATAAATCTTCAGGGCAGGGTCCAGAAGGATGTGTTGATAAATCTCTAGGACGGGGTCCAGTAGAAGATAATGATAAATCTTCAGGGTGGTGTCCAGTAGGAGGTACTGATAAATCAAAAGGGTGAGGTCTAGTAGGAGGGACTGATAAATCTTCAGGGCAGGGTCCAGGAGGATGTGTTGATAAATCTCTAGGACGGGGTCCAGTAGAAGATAATGATAAATCTTCAGGTTGGTGTCTAGTAGGAGGGACTGATAAATCAAAAAGGTGAGGTTCAGTAGCAGGTAGTGATAAATCTTTAGGGTGAGGTCCAGTAGGGGGTACTGATAAATCTTCAGGGCAGGGTCCAGGAGGATGTGTTGATAAATCTCTTGGGCGGGGCCCAGTAGAAGATAATGATAAAACTTCAGGGAGGTGTCCAGTAGGAGGGACGGATAAATTTTCAGGGTTGGGCTCAGTAGGAGGTACTGATTAATTGTCAAGGTAAAGTCCAGGAGGTACTGATACATCTTCGGGGTGGGGTCCCGTAGGGGGTTCTGCTCACTGTTCTGGGTTGGGTCCATTAGGAGGTGCTGATAAATCCTCAGGATGGGGTCCAGTAGGAGGTGCTGTTAAATCTTCAGGTTGTTGTCCAGTAGGAGGTAGTGATTAATCAAAAGGGTGAGCTAGTAGGAGGGACTGATGAATCAAAAAGGTGAGGTCCAGAAGGAGGTAGTGATAAATCTTTAGGGTGAGGTCCAGTAGGAGGTACTGATAAATTTTCAGGGTGGGGCTCAGTAGGAGGTACTGATACATCTTCAGGGTGAGGTCCAGTAGGAGGTTCTGATAAATCTTCTGGGTTGGGTCCATTAGGAGGTACTGATAAATCTTCAGGGTGAGGTCCAGTAGGCGGTACTGAAAAATCTTCAGGGTGACGTCCAGTAGGAGGTACTTATAAATCAAAAAGGTGTGGTCCAGTAGGAGGTAGTGATTAATCAAAAGGGTGAGGTCCAGTAGGAGGTACTGATAAATCTTCAGGGTGGGGTCCAGTAGGAGGTGCTGATAAATCGTCAGGGTGGGGTCCAGTAGGAGGTGCTGATAAATCAAAAGGGTGAGGTCCAGTAGGAGGTGCTGATGAATCAAAAGGGTGAGGTCCAGTAGGAGGTGCTGATGAATCCTCAGGATGGGGTCCAGTAGGAGGTGCTGATAAATCCTCAGGATGGGGTCCAGTAGGATGTGCTGATAAATCTTCAGGATGAGGTCCAGTAGGATGTGCTGATAAATCTTCAGGTTGGGGTCCAGTAGGATGTGCTGATAAATCAAAAGGTTTGGGGTCCAGTATTAGGTACTGATAAATCAAAAAGGTGGGGTCCAGTAGAAGATAACGATAAATCTTCAGGTTGTTGTCCAGTAGGAGGTACTGATAAATCAAAAAGGTGAGGTCCAGTAGGAGGTAGTGATAAATCTTAAGGGCAGGGTCCAGGAGGATGTGTTGATAAATCTCTAGGGTGGGGTACCAGTAGGAGGTACTGATAAATCTTCAGGGTGGGGTCCAATAGGAGGTACTGATAAATCTTCAGGGCATGGTCCAGGAGGATGTGTTGATAAATCTCTAGGATGGGGTCCAGTAGAAGATAATGATAAATCTTCAGAGTGGGGTCCAGTAGGAGGTGCTGTTAAATCTTCAGGTTGGGGTCCAGTAGGAGGTGCTGATAAATCAAAAGGGTCGGGTCCAGTAGGAGGTACTGATAAATCTTCAGGGCGAGGTCCAGTAGGCGGTACTGAAAAATCTTCAGGGTGACATCCAGTAGGAAGTACTGATAAATCTTCAGGGCAGGGTCCAGGAGGATGTGTTGATAAATCTCTAGGGTGGGGTCCAGTAGAAGATAATGATAAATCTTCAGGGGGGTGTCCAGTAGGATGTACTGATAAATCAAAAGGGTGAGGTCTAGTAGGAGGGACTGATAAATCAAAAAGGTGAGGTCCAGTAGGAGGTTGTGATAAATCTTTAGGGTGAGGTCCAGTAGGAGGTACTGATAAATCTTCAGGGCAGGGTCCAGGAAGATGTGTTGATAAATCTCTAGGGTGGGGTCCAGTAGAAGATAATGATAAATCTTCAGGGTGGTGTCCAGTAGGAGGTACTGATAAATCAAAAGGGTGAGGTCTAGTAGGAGGGAATGATAAATCAAAAGGGTGAGGTTTAGTAGGAGGTACTGATAAATCAAAAGGATGAGGTCCAGTAGAAGGTGCTGATTAATCAAAAGGGTGGGGTCCAGTAGGAGGTGCTGATAAATCTTCAGGGTGATGTCCAGTAGCAGGTGCTGATAAATCTTCAGGGTGATGTCCAGAAGGAGGTACTGATAAATCTTCAGGGTGGTGTCCAGTAGGAGGTGTTGATAAATCTTCAGGGTGGAGCTCAGTAGGAGGTACTGATACATCTTCAGGGTGAGGTCCAGTAGGTGGTTCTGATAAATCTTCTGTGTTGGGTCCAGTAGGAGGTACTGATAAATCTTCAGGGTGAGGTCGAGTAGGCGGTACTGAAAAATCTTCAGGGTGGGGTCCAGTAGGAGGTACTGATAAATCTTCAGGGTGAGGTTCAGTAGGAGGTTCTGATAAATCTTCAGGATGGCGTCCAGTAGGAGGTACTTATAAATCAAAAAGGTGGGGTCCAGTAGAGGTCCAGTAGGGGGAACTGATAAATCAAAAATGTGGTGTCCAGTAGGAGATGCTGATAAATCTTCAGGGTGAGGTCCAGTAGGAGGTGCTGATAAATCCACAGGGTGGGGTCCAATAGGAGGTACTGATCAATAAAAAAGTGGGGTCCAGTAGAAGGTGTTAATAAATCTTCAGGGTGGGGTCCAGTAGGAGGTACTGATAAATCTTCAGGGTGAGGTCCAGTAGGAGGTACTGATAAATCTTAAGGGTTAGGTCCAGTAAGAGGTACTGATAAATTGTCAAGGTAAAGTCCAGTAGAAGGTATTGATAAATCTTCAGGGGGGGGTCCAATAGGAGGTACTGATAAATCCTCAGGGTGGGAGGAGGTACTGATAAATCTTAAGGGTTAGGTCCAGTAGGAGGTACTGATAAATTGTCAAGGTAAAGTCCAGTAGGAGGTACTGATAAATTGTCAAGGTAAAGTCCAGTAGGAGGTACTGATACATTTTCAGGGTGGGGTCCATTAGGAGGTACTGATGAATCTTCAGGGTGGGGTCCAGTAGGAGGTGCTGATTAATTAAAAGGGTGGGGTCCAGTAGGAGGTGCTGATTAATCAAAAGGATGAGGTCTAGTAGGAGGTACTGATAAATTGTCAAGGTAAAGTCCAGTAGGAGGTACTGATAAATTGTCAAGGAAAAGTCCAGTAGGAGGTACTGATACATTTTCGGGGTGGGGTCCAGTTGGATGTACTGATAAATCTTCAGGGTGAGGTCCAGTAGGAGGTACTGATGAATCTTCAGGGTGGGGTCCAGTAGAAGGTACTGATAAATCAAAAAGTTGAGGTCCAGAAGGAAGTGTTGATAAATCTTCAGGGTGGGGTCCAGTAGGAGGTACTGATACATTTTCAGGGTGGGGTCCAGTAGGAGGTACTGATAAATCTTCAGGGTGAGGTCCAGTAGGGGGGGTGGGGTACCAGTAGGAGGTACTGATAAATCTTCAGGATGGTGTCCAGTAGGAGGTGTTGATAAATCTTCAGGGTGGGGTCCAGTAGAAGGTACTGATAAATCAAAAAGTTGAGGTCCAGTAGGAGGTACTGATAAATCCTCATGGTGGGGTCCAGTAGGAGGTACTGATAAATCTTCAGGGTGGTGTCCAGTAGGAGGTGTTGATAAATCTTCAGGGTGGGGCTCAGTAGGAGGTACTGATACATCTTCTGGGTTGGGTCCAGTAGGAGGTACTGATAAATCTTCAGGGTGAGGTCCAGTAGGGGGTACTGAAAAATCTTCAGGGTGACGTCCAGTAGGAGGTACTTATAAATCAAAAAGGTTGGGTCCAGTAGGAGGTAGTGATTAATCAAAAGGGTGAGGTCCAGTGGGAGGTACTGATAAATTGTCAAGGTAAAGTCCAGTAGGAGGTACTGATAAATCTTCAGGGTGAGGTCCAGTAGGAGGTGCTGATAAATCTTCAGGGTGAGGTCCAGTAGGAGGTGCTGATGAATCCACAGGGTGGGGTCCAATAGGAGGTACTGATAAATAAAAAAGTGGGGTCCAGTAGAAGGTGTTAATAAATCTTCAGGGTGGGGTCCAGTAGGAGGTACTGATAAATCTTAAGGGTTAGGTCCAGTAGGAGGTACTGATAAATTGTCAAGGTAAAGTCCAGTAGAAGGTACTGATAAATCTTCAGGGTGGGGTCCAATAGAAGGTACTGATAAATCTTCAGGGTGGGGTCCAGTAGGAGGTGCTGTTAAATCTTCAGGTTGGGGTACAGTAGAAGGTACTTATAAATTGTCAAGGTAAAGTCCAGTAGGATGTTATGATGAATCTTCAGGGTTGGGTCTCGTAGGAGGTACTGATAAATCTTCGTGGTGGAAGGTACTGATAAATCTTCAGGGTTGGGTCCAGTAGAAGGTACTGATAAATCTTCAGGGTGGGGCCCAGTAGGAGGGACTGATAAATCTTCAGTGTGGGGTCCAGTAGGAGGTACTGATAGGTACTGATAAATTGTCAAGGTAATGTCCAGTAGAAGGTACTGATAAATCTTCAGGGTTGGGTCCAGTAGGAGGTACCGATAAATCTTCAGGATGTGGTCCAGAAGGAGGTACTGATTAATTGCCAGGGAGGGGTCCAGTAGGAGGTGCTGATTAATCAAAAGGATGAGGTCTAGTAGGAGGTACTGATAAATTGTCAAGGTAATGTCCAGTAGAAGGTACTGATAAATCTTCAGGGTTGGGTCCAGTAGAAGGTACTGATAAATCTTCAGGGTTGGGTCCAGTAGGAGGTACCGATAAATCTTCAGGATGTGGTCCAGAAGGAGGTACTGATTAATTGCCAGGGAGGGGTCCAGTAGGAGGTGCTAATAAATCAAAAAGATGCGGTCCAGTAGAAAGTGTTGATAAATCCTCATGTTGATAAATCTCTAGGACGGGGTCCAGTAGAAGATAATGATAAATCTTCAGGGTGGTGTCCAGAAGGAGGTACTGATAAATCAAAAAGGTGAGGTCCAGTAGGAGGTACTGATTAATTGTCAAGGTAAAGTCCAGTAGGAAGTACTGATAAATAAATAAAAGGTGGGGTCCAGTAGGAGGTACTGATAAACCTCCAGGGTTAGGTCCAGTAGGAGGTACTGATAAATTGTCAAGGAAAAGTCCAGTAGGAGGTACTGATAAATCTTCAGGGTGAGGTCCAGTAGGAGGTACTGATTAATTGTCGAGGTAAAGTCCAGTAGGAAGTACTGATAAATAAATAAAAGGTGGTGTCCAGTAGGAGGTACTGATAAATCTTCAGGGTGGGGTCCAGTAGGAGGTACTGATAAATCTTCAGTGTGGGGTCCAGTAGGAGGTACTGATAAATTGGCAAGGTAAAGTCCAGTAGGATGTGCTGATAAATCTTCAGGGTGAGGTCCAGTAGGATGTACTGATAAATCTTTAGGGTGGGGTCCAGCAGGATGTACTGATAAATCTTCAGTGGTGGGTCTAATAGGAGGTGCTGATAAATCAAAAACGTGAGGTCCAGGAGGAGGTACTGATAAATCTTAAGGGTTAGGTCCAGTAGGAGGTACTGATAAATTGTCAAGGTAAAGTCCAGTAGAAGGTACTGATAAATCTTCAGGGTGGGGTCCAATAGGAGATACTGATAAATCTTCAGGGTGGGGTCCAGTAGGAGGTGCTGTTAAATCTTCAGATTGGGGTCCAGTAGAAGGTACTTATAAATTGTCAAGGTAAAGTCCAGTAGGATGTGCTCATAAATCTTCAGGGTGAGGTCCAGTAGGAGGTACTGATTAATTGTCAAGGTAAAGTCCAGTAGAAGGTACTGATAAATCTTCAGGCTGGGGTCCAGTAGGATGGGTTGATAAATCTTCAGGGTGAGGGCCAGTAGGAGGTACTGATTAATTGTCAAGGTAAAGTCCAGTAGAAGGTACTGATAAATCTTCAGGCTGGGGTCCAGTAGGATGGGTTGATAAATCTTCAGGGTGAGGGCCAGTAGGAGGTACTGATTAATTGTCAAGGTAAAGTCCAGTAGAAGGTACTGATAAATCTTCAGGCTGGGGTCCAGTAGGATGTGTTGATAAATCTTCAGGGTGATGTCCAGTAGGAGGTACTGATAAATAAATAAAAGGTGGTGTCCAGTAGGAGGTACTGATTAATTGTCAAGGTAAAGTCCAGTAGGATGTGCTCATAAATCTTCAGGGTGAGGTCCAGTAGGAGGTACTGATTAATTGTCAAGGTAAAGTCCAGTAGGAGGTACTGATAAATAAATAAAAGGTGGTGTCCAGTAGGAGGTACTGATAAATCTTCATTGGTGGGTCTAATAGGAGGTGCTGATAAATCAAAAAGTCCAGTAGGAGGTACTGATAAATCTTCGTGGTGGAGTCCAGTAGGAGGTACTGATACATCTTCAGGGTGGAGTCCAGTAGGAGGTACTGATAAATCTTCAGGGTGAGGTCCAGTAGGATGTACTGATAAATCTTTAGGGTGGGGTCCAGCAGGATGTACTGATAAATCTTCATTGGTGGGTCTAATAGGAGGTGCTGATAAATCAAAAACGTGAGGTCCAGTAGGAGGTACTGATAAATCTTCAGGGTGGAGTCCAGTAGGAGGTACTGATAAATCTTCGTGGTGGAGTCCAGTAGGAGGTACTGATAAATTTTCAGTGTGGGGTCCAGTAGGAGGTACTGATAAATCAAAAGGATCGGGTCCAGTAGGAGGTACTGATAAATCTTCGTGGTGGAGTCCAGTAGGAGGTACTGATACATCTTCAGGGTGGAGTCCAGTAGGAGGTACTGATAAATCAAAAGGGTGGGGTCCAGTAGAATGTTCTGATAAATCTTCGTGGTGGAGTCCAGCAGGAGGTACTGATAAATCTTCAGGGTGGGGTCCAGTAGGAGGTACTGATAAATCTTCAGGGTGGGGTCCAGTAGGAGGTATGGATAAATCTTCAGGGTGGGGTCCAGTAGGAGGTACTGATAAATCTTCAGGGTGGGGTCCAGTAGGAGGTACTGATAAATCTTCAGGGTTGGGCTCAGTAGGAGGTACTGATAAATCTTCAGGGTGGGGTCCAGTAGGAGGTACTGATAAATATTCAAGGTGAAACCTGAACTTAGATATACAGGTTTCTATTTTTTTTGCATAAATGAAGTAGTGGTCCTCTGACAGCAAATGATTGGCAAGTAGGAATAGTTACGCATATGGAATTTTCAGAAACCAAGATAATCGTTATAAAGCCATCTTGAACTTCTAGAGCTGAAGTTTGTTAGCGCTTTTTCTCAGAAAGCATTTTCTCTAATTTTCCCATGGTCTCTTGTTTCACATATCAAATCGACTGATCAGAAAACCACAATGGCCGATAGGTAGCCATCTTGAATTTGGAGGGTTAACATTAAAGTTTTAGAGCTGTTTTCTAGAAAGTACTAAAAGGGATCTTTCTCAAACTTCACATGAAGGGTCCCCTTGATCTGTAGTTATGATATCAAACTTTGAGACTAATAGGAAAACCAAGATGGCTGACCGGTGGCAATCTTGAATTTTAAGTTAAATTTGGTGCTCAAATTTCTCATCCAGGTTCCTTATGCATCTTGAATTTTTTGACTGATCGACAAAACAAGATGGCCACCAGACAGTCATATTGAATTTTTTGACTGATCGATAAAACAGGATGGTCACCAGACAGTCATATTGAATTTTTTGACTGATCGACAAAACAGGATGGCCACCAGACAGTCATATTGAATTTTTTGACTGATCGACAAAACAGGATGGCCACCAGACAGTCATATTGAATTTTTTGACTGATCGACAAAACAGGATGGCCACCAGACAGCCATATTGAATTTTTTGACAGATCGACAAAACAGGATGGCCACCAGACAGTCATATTGAATTTTTTGACTGATCGACAAAACAGGATGGCCACCAGACAGTCATATTGAATTTTTTGACTGATCGACAAAACAGGATGGCCACCAGACAGTCATCTTGAATTTTTTGACTGATCGACAAAACAGGATGGCCACCAGACAGTCATCTTGAATTTTTTGACTGATCGACAAAACAGGATGGCCACCAGACAGTCATCTTGAATTTTTTGACTGATCGACAAAACAAGATGGCCACCAGACAGTCATCTTGAATTTTTTGACTGATCGACAAAACAGGATCGCCACCAGACAGTCATCTTGAATTTTGACAGCTCAATTTTGTCATCACTATTTTTGTGTATGTTCCCCTTTGACCCCTTGTTAACATTCCCCTTATGAGAAATCAGCTGTCATTGACAGCACCTTTAAGTAAAAGATTCCGGTTTACGATTTCCAACATAGGAATGGGTAATAGTACCTGTAAGGAAAATGAAGAGCAAAGAAGGTAAAACATCATCTTTTGTAGATCTGACGAAGATTCTTTCATGGTGGACACAAAAATCCTTCTAGGATATCTTATGAAGTCATCTGAATTGAATGACAGGGACAAATTAAATAGAATAAAAGAGAATTAATCAGTATCATAACAATGTAAATATCATTGACAAGTGAATACAAAGGAAGTAATCTGAGTACTTAACTATGGCTTTTGACAGTGTATTTTGACAGTGTATAGGCATATCCTATTGAAATCTATTCTAGTATTCTTCTTGACATTATTTTTTTTTTATTTCAATTGCAGCAACTTGATGATTGGTCCTTTGATGTGTTTGCTGTTAATACTGCCGCAGACGGACATGCCTTGAAATTTGTGGGAAATGAACTTTTGCAAAAATATGATTTGATATCAAAGTTTAAAATCAGCACAAGTGTGTTAGATTCCTTCCTGTTGGCAATAGAGCAGGGTTATAGCAAATACAAGAACCCCTACCACAACCTCCTTCATGGGGCAGATGTTGCACAAACTGTGCATTTTGTCCTATCACAGAGCAAACTAGCAGTGAGTATGAAAAGTGTGATAAATATGCAAGACCACACACTTGTTATGTGCACGAGTGAATGTATACGTTTGCGCAATAAATGAGTGCTTTCTGATTCGTTAGAAAAACGCAAGTGTGTGGTCTTGCTTTTATCACATACCTTCCGTATTTGATAGAGATCGATAAAGATTTTATAAACTTTGATATTTTTTGCAAATATTGGGAACTTTTTAGCTCGCCATGACAAGGGAATTTCCCTAAAAATTAGTTCCGGCTAGTATGGTGATACAAACCGACAGAAAACATCAACAGAAAATTGTCGTATTACTATTGTAAGATTACATAGGTATGTGATAACACAATTACCTTTATGTTTTAAGGTTCTAAATGAAAGATAGAAAGTTGATTTGAACGTTGATAAATTTGTCCAGTAAGTGTAACACCTAACACAGAACAGATGTCACTGTATTGTACCCGAGTACTGTGACCTGTAATGTATTTAACCTCTTAATTACTACAATGTAGCTATGTTATGCATGTACCTATTAAAGTATACCATGAACGAATATAGTAATGAATATATTATCATTCTATATGATACAAAAACAAACATTTTGAGAGCAATGTCGAGATATTGACGTGCAAAGTGTACTTGTAACTTGTACCCGTCAAAGTCCTTCTACTACTACTAATTAGCATAATCATAACAATCGTAACTTTCTGACGTAAAAAGTTTGATGACTGTAGCAGCCACCATGTAATGATTAGGCAGGAGCAGCAATACAGGGTCAGATTGTGAAATATGCTGAAGATGACATGTCTTCACCTGTAATGTATTTAGTTACTTCACTGTGTAGCTATATTATACATATATATAAGGACCACACACTGTGACCTGTAATGTATTTAGTCACTCCACTGTGTAGCTATATTATACTTGTTTATAAGGACCACACACTGTGACCTGTAATGTATTAAGTCACTCCACTGTGTAGCTATATTATACTTGTTTATAAGGACCACACAATGTGACCTGTAATGTATTTAGTTACTTCACTGTGTAGCTATGTTATACCTGTTTATAAGGACCACACACTGTGACCTGTAATGTATTTAGTCACTCCACTGTGTAGCTATGTTATACCTGTTTATAAGGACCACACACTGTGACCTGTAATGTATTAAGTTACTTCACAGTGTAGCTATATTATACTTGTTTATAAGGACCACACAATGTGACCTGTAATGAATTTAGTTACTTCACTGTGTAGCTATGTTATACCTGTTTATAAGGACCACACACTGTGACCTGTAATGTATTTAGTCACTCCACTGTGTAGCTATGTTATACCTGTTTATAAGGACCACAAACTGTGACCTGTAATGTATTTAGTTACTTCACTGTGTAGCTATAATAAACTTGTTATAAGGACCACACAATGTGACCTGTTTTGTATTTAGTCACTTCACTGTGTAGCTATGTTATTACTGTTGAAAAGGACCACACAATGTGAACTGTAATGTATTAAGTCAGTCAACAGTGTAGCTATAATAAATTTGTTATAAGGACCACACTATGTGACCTGTAATGTATTTAGTTACTTCACTGTGTAGCTATATTATACATATATATAAGGACCACACACTGTGACCTGTAATGTATTAAGTTACTTCACTGTGTAGCTATGTTATTACTGTTTATAAGGACCACACACTGTGACCTGTAATGTATTTAGTTACTTCACTGTGTAGCTATATTATACATATATATAAGGACCACACAATGTGACCTGTAATGTATTTAGTTACTCCACTATGTAGCTATGTTATACATATATATAAGGACCACACACTGTGACCTGTAATGTATTTAGTTACTTCACTGTGTAGCTATATTATACATATATATAAGGACCACACAATGTGACCTGTAATGTATTTAGTTACTTCATTGTGTAGCTATATTATACCTGTTTATAAGGACCACACTATGTGACCTGTAATGTATTTTGTCACTTCACTGTGTAGCTATATTATACTTGTTTATAAGGACCACAAACTGTGACCTGTAATGTATTTAGTTACGTCACTGTGTAGCTATATTATACTTGTTTATAAGGACCACACACTGTGACCTGTAATGTATTTAGTCACTCCACTGTGTATCTATGTTATACCTGTTTATAAGGACCCCACACTGTGACCTGTAATGTATTAAGTCACTCCACTGTGTAGCTATGTTATACCTGTTTATAAGGACAACACACTGTGACCTGTAATGTATTTAGTTACTTAACTGTGTAGCTATATATATATATTATACATATATATAAGGACCACACTATGTGACCTGTGATGAATTTAGTTACTTCACTGTGTAGCTATGTTATACATATATATAAGGACCACACACTGGGACCTGTAATGTATTAAGTCACTCCACTGTGTAGCTATGTTATACATGTTTATAAGGACCACACACTGTGACCTGTGATGTATTTAGTCACTCCACTGTGTAGCTATATTATACTTGTTTATAAGGACCGCACACTGTGTCCTGTAATGTATTTAGTCCCTCCACTGTGTAGCTATGTTATACCTGTTTATAAGGACAACACACTGTGACCTGTAATGTATTTAGTTACTTAACTGTGTAGCTATATATATATATTATACATATATATAAGGACCCCACACTGTGACCTGTAATGTATTAAGTCACTCCACTGTGTAGATATGTTATACCTGTTTATAAGGACCACACTATGTGACCTGTAATGTATTTTGTCACTTCACTGTGTAGCTATATTATACTTGTTTATAAGGACCACACACTGTGACCTGTAAGGTATTTAGTTACTTCACTGTGTAGCTATATTATACATATATATAAGGACCACACTGTGACCTGTAATATATTTAGTCACTTCACAGTGTAGGTATGTTTTACTTGTTTATATGGATTTCATGGCTGTTTGATGTAAAACCTGTTGCGTATTAATTTAATGTCATTTTTTACTCTCCAGGACTGGTTGACAGACTTGGAAGTGTTTGCTACAATCATAGCTGCATTAATACATGACTATGAACACACAGGAACAACCAATAATTTTCACATAATGACAGGGTGAGTTCTGACTTAAACAGTTGATTTTATCATAATTTTCATTGCACCCATTGTTCTTTATTTTCGCACTGTAATACTACTTCACATAAAGCCTAGATCAGTTTCTTGCATTTCGGAAAATCGTCTTTTATAATGCAGTGATTTTTTACCTCTTTTCGACTGGAGGTAATTGTGGCCTTTTGGAAAACATCACACAAAAAGCATGATTTGTAGAAATCAAATTGATTTAAGCATTGATTTGGCGAAATTAACAAAAATTATTCAGGGGAAGGGGCTACCTTTAAAATCACTGAAATGTTTTATTGTACACATGTTTGTTATTGTATCACAAATATAATGCTAGCAACTTCTGTTTGATATATATAGGCACCCGATCAAAATGTTAACAGGATGTTTTATTGTATCTGGTTGTCCATTCACATTTCAGTTTCCACAAGATAACTTGCTTAAATAGCGTATGATTTTGATAAAAGTTGATAGGCATGTAAATGATACAAAGAATAGTTGTATAGGAATTTTGCCCCTATTTAGTGTGTATTTCAAACCATTAAAAAAGACACTGGTATTGCCTCTACAAACATTTCTGAGTGCTTGTAGATTTGACTTTACCAAAAATTGAGTTAGCATTATTAGTATTGGATAGCAGTTTGATGGTATGCACATATCAGCCCTGACTGACCCCACGGGGCTGAAGGGTGGGGCCAAAAAGGGTTGAATTGACTGAAATTTCAAAAATGTTCTTCTCAAGACCCAGATATGGTAGAATCAAACACTCTTCATAGATGGAAGGGTCTTAAGGTGCTCTACCAAAATCGTGAATTTCATGACCCTTGGGTATCACGTTTCCCCCTGGGGAGGGGGTAAACTTTACTATAGTTTATATAGGGAAATCACATTTTGGACCAACATTTGTTTAATTTCCATTGGAAGTAATTAAGTTTTGGTTAGCATTATTTGAATTGGGTAGCAGTTTGATGGTATGCACATATGAGTCCTGACTGACCCCCAGGGCTGATGGGAGGGGCCAAAAAGGGTTGAATTGACTGAAATTTCAAAAATGTTCTTCTCAAGACCCAGATATGGTAGAATTAAACTCTCTTGATAGATGGAAGGGTCTTAAGGTGCTCTACCAAAATTGTGAATTTCATGATTTTGACCCTGGCTCTTGATGGAGGTGGTATATAAGGTGAAATAAAACAAATCAAAGCTAACAAATGAGTATTGCACCAGTATTTACATTTCTGTTAGCCCAGCAAATATGGAGGTGGAAGGAAACAAGACTCACATCATAGCACATGTAAAATGTATATTTTGCTTCCTTGCGATTCTTTTTGAAGTCCAAATGTCAAACGTCAAGCTCAGCTATATGGGCAGATTGCTTCTTGATGATTATGGGGGATATATTGCCACAAGACGGGGCCCTTACTGACCTGTCAGTGTTCTAGTTAAATTTAAGTTAGCATTATCAGTATTGGGTTGCAGTTTGATGGTATACACATATGAGCCCTGAGTGACCCCCCGGGGCTGATTGGTGGGGCCAAAAAGGGTTGAATTGACGGAAATTTCAGAAAGAAATCTTCTCAGAGACCAAGATATGGTTGAATCAAACACTCTTCATAGATAGAAGGGTCTTAAGGTTTATGACCCTAAGATCTCACGTTTATCCTTCCACTTTCAAGGTCACTGGGGTCAGATGTCTTAAAATCTTCAAACAACTTCTTCTCAATAACCAAAAGGCCCAGGGTACTTATATTGGGCCTGTAGCATGCTGGGGTGAAGGGCTACCAACTTTGTTCAAATGTTTGACCTTGACCTACTTTCAAGGTCACTGTAGTCAGATGTCTTAAAATCTTCAAACAACTTCTTCTCAATAACCAAAAGGCCCAGGGTACTGATATTGGGCCTGTAGCATGCTGGGATGAAGGGCTAACAAGTTTGTTAAAATGTTTGAACTTGAGTAACTATCAAGGTCACTGGGGTCAGATGTCCTTATATCTTCAAACGACTTCTCCTCAATAACTAAAAGGCCCAGGGTACTGATATTCGGCCTGTAGCATGCTAGGATGAAGGGCTTCCAAGTTTGTTAAAATGTTTGACCTTGACCAACTTTCAAGGTCACTGGGGTCAGATGTCTTAAAATCTTCAAACGCCTTCTTCTCAATAACCAAAAGGCCCAGGGTACTGATATTGGGCCTGTAGCATGCTGGGATGAAGGGCTACCAAGTTTGTTAAAATGTTTGACCTTGACTAACTGTCAAGGTCACTGGGGTCAGATGTCTTAATATCTTCAAACGAATTCTCCTCAATAACTAAAAGGCCCAGGGTACTGATATTCGGCCTGTAGCATGCTAGGATGAAGGGCTTCCAAGTTTGTCAAAATGTTTGACCTTGACCAACTTTCAAGGTCACTGGGGTCAGATGTCTTAAAATCTTCAAACGTCTTCTTCTCAATAACCAAAACGCCCAGGGTACTAATATTGGGACTGTAGCATGCTGGGATGAAGGGCTACCAAGTTTGTTCAAATGAATGACCTTGACCAGCTTTCAACCTGATGTCCTTGTTCGACATTCAAGGTCACAGGCATCATATGTTTAAATCTTTTAATAGGTTCTTATGAATCAAACACTGATATTCTGCCTGTACCTGTATTTTAGTCCACTTTTAAGATTACAAGTGTGAGATTAATACCAGGTGAGCGATGCAGGTCCATTGGGCCTCTTGTCCTTGTTTAGAATCAGAGGTGCTAGTTTCAAGTACTTTTTAGTCTTAAATCTGTATGCTAGATATGGAATAAGGTGGTTTTATTGTTTTTTGTCACTGAATAATCTTTCTGTTCGTGTTAAAAACAAAATCAACTCTCTGTATAAATATATCAGGTGACCGTTAAGGCCCATGGGCCTCTTGTTTTCATTTCTCAGAGGTGTACATCCTTAGCATAGCCTTTGCCTTCATTTAGTAGAAATATTGACCAAGTTTCATCAAACTTGTGCATTTCATTAAGTTATTGGTGGAAACCTCCAACCAATCAGATCACAGCCTACTTTTAAATTATTCACAAATTTTGCTAAACTTTGAATTTAACCTTAGTTTAATATGATTATTGACCATTAATTTCAGTCATATTAGTTATTTTGTCAAAACTGTCAACCAATCAGGGTGCAGTATGCTAGTTTATTTGTTAAGAATTTTGTTCAACTTCAAGGGCAGCTTCATTTCTTTTTTTGTTCACCAAGTTCAAAGGACCAAGTTGAGTTTATGCCATACTGTAGCATCTGATGTCCATCCATCAACAATTTCTTTCAAGAACTTCTTCTGAACCAATAATTGGATTTAATACAATTTGACCAAGCATCTCTTGGTGGTTGGGATTTATATTTGTACAAATAGTGGGGCTTAAAGTGGGGCCAAAAAGGGGTTATTTGGCCATATTGGTTTGATAGACATCTCCTCTTAAACTACGAGATTGATAATACCGTATTTGGTTGGAAACCTTCATAGGATATTGGCTCTATTGCTTTCAGCAAACCAAGAGATGGATATCAGCCATATATGGTGTCAGGTGGCAGGGTTCTTAAACTGGACAAATGGAGGGGCTTACCTCCCAAGGGGGCTGAGGGGTTTGGCCAAGGGAATAATTTGTCCATATTGTGAATTCTCCTCTGGAATAATGAGATGGATATCAGCCATATTTGGTTGGGAACATCCTTGACTGGGAAGGATTCAGAATTGTACCAATTGGAGAACTGAAGGGCAGGGCCAACCAAGTTTATAACTTGGGATTGGTTGTGATTCCCAAATCCCATAACCATATATATGCAGTGGCTGGGTATAAAGAGATCTCAATCATAAAAGGAGAATTGACTCTTGGGTCTGGCCACACCTTGGGGTCACAAGTTGATACAATTAGGATCCCCAACCTCTAATCATTTATACAATTGTTGTGCATGGAAGTTTTGATACAGATATGAAATTAAGATTTGACTTAGGACATGAGACATAAGAGATTGGCTCTGGGGTCTGCCCCTCCCCTATTAACTTATACTCATAAAGAGATGAATTACCATAGTCATCTACAAGAATTGGTCTCAGGATCTGCCCCACCCATAGGGGCTTAGTCTCTGAGTCATAACATAGAAACATTTGGATTTCTTACCCAATAACAATATATACAATTGCTAAGCATGAAGGATAAAAATATACTTCCAAGAGTTGCTCAGGGAACTGGCCCGATATCTTGGATTGCTTTTGCAATACTACCTTTAATTGGAATAGTTTGTCATCCATGATTATCCAAGTGAATGATAAATACCCTGGGCCTTTTGTATTATTTGTATTCCTTAACTCATTCACCCCTGAAGACACATTTGAACCTTTCCAACTCAAAGGTTGGAATAGTTCACTATGAAGTTTCAGGGGTGAATGGGTTAATGATCAATGGGTTAAGTACTATATATTTTTCCTTTCACCACATACTTAAATAATTTCAAGTTTCTTCTTGTTACATTTTTGTATTTTTCATAAATCTTAATTTATGAATACATCAGAAGGATTTAAAATATGCTAATTTGATATGGGATGGACATTTCACCCCATTGATACTCTTGTATCTTTGTCTGATTCAAAAATATGATTTGCTGTTAACAGGTCCGAAGTCGCAATATTATACAATGACAGAGCTGTGTTAGAGAATCACCATATCAGTGCCTCCTTCAGAATGATGAAAACCGATGAATGCAATATTGTAGCAAACCTCAGTCGAGAGGAGTTCAGGTTTGTACAAAAAATGTCATACCATGATAGAAGGCATTGACCCTTGTTCTATTCACTTAGATATATTATATAATTATAGACATTGACCCTTGTTCTATTCACTTAGATATATTCTATAATTATAGACATTGACCCGTGTTCTATTCACTAAGATATATTATATAATTAAAGACATTGACCTGTGTTCTATTCACTTAGATATATTATATAATTATAGACATTGACCCGTGTTCTATTCACTTAGATATATTTTATATTTATAGACATTGACCCTTGTTCTATTCACTTAGATATATTTTATAATTATAGACATTGACCCGTGTTCTATTCACTTAGATATATTATATAATTAAAGACATTTGCCCTTGTTCTATTCACTAAGATATATTATATAATTATAGACATTGACCCGTGTTCTATTAACTTAGATATATTATATAATTATAGACATTGACCCGTGTTCTATTCACTTCAAGATATATTATATAATTATAGACATTGACCCTTGTTCTATTCACTAAGATATATTATATGATTATAGAATTGACCCTTGTTCTATTGACTTCAAGATATATTTTATAATTATAGACATTGACCCTTGTTCTATTCACTTAGATATATTTTATCATTCTTGACCATCAGAAAACAACTGGGCAGTTTGCTAGAACTGTTAGAACAAAGAGCACTTGTCATGCGACCACGCTAGGTCCTAAGGATTGGATCTCATACTCTTTCCCTTATCAGTAAGGAACCAATACCCAATATAGCACATGTAAATTAGGCAAAGAGGGGAGACCCTCTGTTTACTGTGTTGCTGTCAGCACAGCGAGGTTATGGGAGGTCAGAATGCCCAGCTGGCTGAGCTTGAGATAAGAATAATCTTGACCCCAGCATTACTAATTGTTTGGATGCATGTCCTTTCTATGACCAGTGATCATGACCCGCAGACAGGGGAGAGGTCTTGTGATGAGACCATCTAGCACCCAGATGGTCCTGTGAACTGATATTTATGTTGATAGGGAACCGATGGACCATATATTCATTCTATACTTCATCTGCTGAGATGTTAATTTATGATGAGATGAAAGAAGATGATAGCCAGTCCCCTTCTATGCTGTGCAAACCTGCCTAATATTTCGTATTAGACTTTAATTATTATTATTATATAGTGGGGATTCAAAATTGTACAAATGGTGGGGCTGACCCCAGGAGCCTGAGGGGTGGGGGCAAAAGTGGGCAATTTGGCTATATTGCTATAAATGACTTCTTCTGTAGAACTATGCACTGGATATCAATCATATTTGGTCAGAAGCATTGATGGGAGGCGGGAATTTAAAATTGCACAAATGGTGGGGCTGACCCCACAAGGGGCTGAGGGGCGGGGGCCAAAAAGGGTTATTTGGCTATGTTGCTTTAAGCGACTTCTCCTCTGGCACTAAGAGATGGATATCAACCATATTTGACTTGAAGCATCCCTAGGTAGTGGGGATTCAAAATTGTACAAATGGTGGGGCGTGGCCAAAAGGGAGCGATTTGGCTATATTGCTATAAATGACTTCTTCTGTAGAACTATGCACTGGATATCAATCATATTTTGTTGTTGGAAGCATTCATGGGAGGCAGGGATTCAAATTTGTACAAATGGGGAGGGGGGGGGGGGGGGGGGGGGGGGGGTGGCTGACCCGTGGGCTAATGAGAGGAGCCAAAAATAGTTTATTATTTGGAAATCATTGAGATCACCATTCTATATCCATATATACAATTGCTGAGTATGAAGAGAATAATGCACAAATGCTTCCAGGATAACTTTGAAACGGTTGAGATCCCCACGTGTCAACTATATATACAAATGCTGGGCATAAAGAGAGAAATTCACTCTTGATATTATAATTGATCTTGGGATCTGGCCACAACCCTAGGGACCTAATTTCTGAGTCTTACCTTGGAAACAGTTGAGATCCCCACCCCATAACCATACATAAAATTGCTGGACATGAAAAAAACTATTACAGATATGCTACAAGGGTTGGCCTTGGGGTCTGGCCCATTCCCTTGGATTTTATTTGGAGAATATTTTGCCATGATTACTTTGATATCCAGGTGAGCGATACCGGCATTCTAGGCCTCTTATAATTATAGACATTGACCCTTGTTCTATTCACTTTGAGATATTTTATAATTATAGACCCCTCTGGGTGCAGAGTTTTGGGGTCCAAAAGGGGAATTTGAAGTTTAAATCTTTAAAATCCATTTATGTACCATTGGAGGGATTTAATGTAATAAGAATAATTTCCTATGGTTGCTTTATTATCATGGTGAGCGATACAGGCCCTCTGGGCCCCTTGTTTTTATCAGCTCACCTGGCCCAAAGTGGTCTTCAAGTTTCAGATGTCCAATGTCCGTCAACCTTTTCCTTTAAGTCCTATTGGTCCTGAATTGTGTATACCTTCTCAAACAATAGAGGGAGTGAACCAATTCTTTGGACAACTGCAGGGTCTCAATTGTGTATAATCAGAGCTATGGACAGCTGTGGGACAGAGGGCTGGGACCCAATAGGGAAATATAGGGGAAAATGGTTCTACTTCTGTACAAATGAAGGGATTTAAACCAAATGTGGTCTGAATGAAGCATCATAAGGGTAAATTACTAATTTTGTATAAACTTACGCCTGGGCCCCCCTTTGGGGCAGATGGGTGGGGCCCCATAGGGGAAATAGAAGAACATTATGAAATCCTTCTCCTTTTGTACCAGTTAAGGGATTTTAACCAAACGAGTTCTGGAGCATCTTTAGACAAAAAGGATCAATTTTGTATAAACAATGAATATGGCCCAATATCGTAAATAGAGGTAACTATTTTTAAATGTTTACTTCAATACAAATGGAGGGATTTTGACCAATATTGGTTAATAGAACCTGCAGGCAAAGATAACAAAGTTTTGTATAAATGGAGGATTTAGCCACCTGGGGACAGAGGGCCTGTCCCAATAGAGGAGATAGAGTTGAATATTTGAAATGTTTGTTCCTAATGGAGGGATTTCAGCAAAATTTGGTTTGGAGCATTGATTGGCAAGTGGGACTCAGGTTATGAGCTCAACAGGGCCCGTTCTCATGAAACCGTTCTCATGCTTGCATGCATAGATTTCATCTTCAAGTTGTATTTCTTGAACCGTTTATAAATATATAATATAATGTTATTGTGTCATTGATTTGGAAAAAACTTGATGATATTTGGCCAGAAGCATGCTAGGTCAAGTAACACTACAAAGTTTGTCTAAATTAATTATCTTGACTTAAATCACATGGGTCAAACATGTTTAAAATCTTTAAATGACTTATTCCGAAAAACTAAAATGCAAAGGATGGTGATATGTGATAAGTAGCATGCTCAGATGAAGAGCTATCAAGATTGTTCATGCGAATGACCTTGCCACTCTTTCAAACTCACATCTAGTCATTTGTGTATAAATCTTTAAAAGTCATCTTCTCAATAAACAAAAGGTATAGGGAAGTGATATTTAGCATGTTGCATTCTGGGCAATAACTTTTGTTCAACTTAATGTCCCTGTTTGACTTTCAAGGTTGCAGAGGTCAAATGTGAATGAAGGGCTACCAAGTTTGTTCAAATGAATTACCTTGACTTATATTCAAGGTCACGGGGGTCAAATATGTTTAAAACCTTTAAACGACTTCTTAATAAGCAAAAAGACAAGGGTGATGATATTTTGCCATTAACATGCTGGGATGAAGGACTAACAAGTTTGTTTAAATGAATTACCTTCGCATATATTCAAGGTCACAGTGGTCAATATATGTTTAAATCTTTAAATGACTTGTTCTGTATAACCAAAAGGTCCAGGATAATGATATTATTTCAGACGCATGCTGGGTTGGAAGACTATAAACTCTGTTCAACCTGATGTCCTTGTTCGACATTCAAGGTCACAGGCCTCAAATGTTTAAATCTTTTAATAGGTTCTTATGAATCAAACATTAAGTCCACTTTTAAGATTACAATTGTGACATTAATACCAGGTGAGCAATTCAGGTCCATTGGGCCTCTTGTTTTTTAATGACTTTGAGTCAAGACACTGATTTTTTCCTATAGCTTTGTTTTAGTCTACTTTTAACGTTACAATTGTGAGATTAATACCAGGTGAGCGATGCAGGCCCATTGGGCCTATTGTTATAAACAGTGTGTGTGTGCCCCCCTCCCCAGGACAGAAGGTTGTAGCCCTATAGGGGAAATAGAGGTAAATCAATTAAATTATTCACCTTTCATATGAATTAAGGGATTTTTCTCTACCCCATAACCAAATATACAATTACTAGGCATGAAGAGAAAAAAACATTCATGCTACTAGGATTAACCTTGGGGTGCAGACCAACCCTGGAGACTACCTCCCTTGGTCATAACATGGAAACAGTTGAGATATCCCTGCCATGCACTCATGTTCTTGGTGTCTTACCCACTCAAACAGATTTATTCCTCCTTACAACTTGTATTTCTTGTATTCCTTTTCAAAACTTGTATGGTACTTGGCAGGTTTTATATTGAAAACAAAAATACCAAATGAGCTATTAAGACCCCTGAGCCTCTTGTTAAAACTTAGAAATATTACATAAAATAGCTCAATACAGCTATAAATTAGAAATATATACATGAATATAAACTTTATTCATTTTACAATAGTTATGAACAAGATAAAACTTATATAAATCACTCTTGTTGATGTTAGGGCATGGGGGTCTTAATGTAGAAGAAACCGGAGTACCCGGAGAAAACCCATGTTGTCAGGCAACTGACCTCATCACCTTTTCACATCCCTCAGAGAATCAAACCCAAGCCGCCTTGGTGAAAAACGAATGCAGTATCCAGCCATCCGACCACCATGAATTATAGGTGGATATAGCTATAGTGGTCTTTAAAAATATTGTTCAAGCAAATTCAAAGTGTACTTCCAGACCTGATGAATCCTTTTCATTGCATTTTTCTTTTTGTAAACATCATTTAAATATGTTGGCTGTATTACAATACAATGATCATCTCAATTCACAGGGATGTCAGAAAACTGTTAACTGGGTGATAACTCATAATTGTCAATGTTCACAGGGAGTTCCGAAATCTGGTAATAGACATGGTGCTGGCCACGGACATGTCTTTCCATTTTCAACAGATCAAGAACATGAAGAATCTGATGGCAATGCCTGAAAAGTGAGTACTAGAAGTAGAGTGATATAAGCTGATAGTTCCTGTAGTATTATCTTTTTGTATTTATATGCACAACAGTGGATAACCAGATCAGTGAACATAAGCGATTTGACGAGCCATTAGATGTTAAAAAATAATCAACCCCAAACTAGACCTCCAGCATATTTTCTTTATAACAATGCACACTATACTGTGCAATTTCTGTTGCTGATTTAAGCTGAAAAAAACCTTTTTTTCAGAAGTATTGTTTTGGAATATTGGTATGAAAACAGAGTTGGAGTTTCTGATTTTATTTCATCTGTTTTGAGTATTGGTTTTCGTGCGTTCCGCTTTTTATCATGTGTCCTTACAAGGTTGTTGTGTTTGAAATACAGTAATAATAATGAGGCCTTATACTTTACTGTACACTTTATATCATGTACAGTTGTATCAAATATTCGATTGAAAGAATAACTATTTATTTTATCAAAATAAATCCTGTTCTGCTCATGACAACCACTTGCTCACCTTATGAATACCCAGCAATATGTGTTCATTCTCAGAAGTGGTCAAAATTAAACAATAACTCTGAATTGACAATATCTTTGGGTAGGAACTCAGTATTTGTTTACGTCTAGCTAAGCCGAAGACTCAGGTGACCTATTAAATTTGCGATCACTTTTTGTCCATAAACTTTTGATTTTATCTATATATAACCTGATAACTAAACACAATATATATGCATTTTGTAAATTGATTTTTTAAGATAGTTATGAGATACTGCTAACATCTAAAGGAGATTTACTAACAATGCTAGATGTTTGCAGTATACCAACACAATGTGTTGATTATAGGCGTATATGGTATATGACCTTGTACAGCCCTGATTAAAATATGCATATTTAGGAGGCTGATATACAGCTGTATATGGCATGCAGGTACCTCGCCTGTCTGTTTTCTGAATACTAAGAGAGACAGATGCCTGGCGACTTCACTTAAAATTATTGCTGCATCATGATCATAATAATTATAATTATGACAGTAAAAACATGAAATTATGAAAAATCAAGGCCCAAATCCTTAAGTAAAAAGTTACATAAAAGTGAGGATAATAAGTGGAATGTACTGTAATGATTATTGTTAATTTTGTTGATATGAATTGATTTTTTTTTGTTTATTATTTTCTTAAAGCAAATTTAGATACTATGACCATTATTCCATTTCAGAACTAGAAATACTTGTATCGTGAGTGAAAATGCTTTTCTTATTAATTAATGGTTATATATATTGACAGTATTATAAAATCTGTGACAAATAAAGAAGCAAATTTCCATGTAGGAAGTATTTGGCATTGTAAATGATATCTGAGGTTGATAAAATGTATAAAAGAATTTAACAACCATTGGGTATGAACTACCTTTTTTGTCGTTGACAGTATTGACAAATCCAAAGCGTTTTCACTCACCCTACACTGTGATCTAGTGTAAACTTTTTTGTCTATGACAGTATTGACAAATCCAAAGTGTTTTCACTAGTCCTACACTGTTATCTAGTGTAATCCTTTTTGTCTATGACAATATTGACAAATCCAAAGCGTTATATCACTCGCCCTACACTGTTATCTAGTATAAACTTTTTTGTCTATGACAGTTTTGAAAAATCCAAAGCGTTATATCACTCGTCCTACACTGTTATCTAGTGTAAACTTTTTTGTCTATGACAGTATTGACAAATCCAAAGTGTTTTCACTAGTCCTACACTGTTATCTAGTGTAATCCTTTTTGTCTATGACAGTATTGACAAATCCAAAGCGTTATATCACTCGCCCTACACTGTTATCTAGTATAAACTTTTTTGTCTATGACAGTTTTGACAAATCCAAAGCGTTATATCACTCGTCCTACACTGTTATCTAGTGTAAACTTTTTTGTCATTGACAGTATTGACAAATCCAAAGCGTTTTCACTAGTCCTACACTGTTATCTAGTGTAATCCTTTTTGTCTATGACAGTATTGACAAATCCAAAGCGTTATATCACTCGCCCTACACTGTTATCTAGTATAAACTTTTTTGTCTATGACAGTTTTGACAAATCCAAAGCGTTATATCACTCGTCCTACACTGTTATCTAGTGTAAACTTTTTTGTCTATGACAGTTTTCACAAATCCAAAACGTTATCACTAGTCCTACACTGTTATCTAATATAATCTTTGTTGGCATTGACAGTATTGACAAATCAAAAACGTTATCACTCGTCCTACACTGTTATCTAGTGTAATCCTTTTTGTGTATGACAGAAGTGACAAATCCAAAGCGTTTTCACTAGTCCTACACTGTTATCTAGTGTAAACTTTTTTGTCTATGACAGTATTGACAAATCCAAAGCGTTTTCACTAGTCCTACACTGTTATCTAGTGTAAACTTTTTTGTCTATGACAGTATTGACAAATC